CTTTTTCCAAAAAGCCGGGTTTTTTAAAAATCTTTAAGACTTCCAGCAGAACGAAGTGCTACTCAGCACAGACATAAAGTTAACTCATCCTAAAAAGACCCGAAAAATGCAGCACCCCCCACTCTCCTTTAACGCGGTCTATGTGTTGTCTTTTTCCAAAAAGCCGGGTTTTTCAAAAAACATTTTTAAGATTTTCAATGGAACGAAGTGCTATTCACCACAGATACAAAGTTAAAGTCACCCTAAAAAACCCCAAAAAACGCGGCGACGTACTTTTTCAAAAAAGCCGAGTTTTCCCAAAAAAAAATTTTTTTTCGAGATTTTCAGCCGAATGAAGTGCTACCGAGCCCTACGAACACAAAGTTAAAGTCATCCTAAAAAACCCCAGAAAACGCGGTAGCGTATTTTTTCAAAAAAAGTCGAGTTTTCCAAAAAAAGATTTTTCGACATTTTCAGCAAAAGGAAGTGCTACCGAGCGTGAGCACGGAATGGTCACTTTTTTTCAGCAAAGTTCCGTTTCGCCGAGCTGCAACAGCCAAAATGCATTCATCGTAATCCAAAGGATATGGGATATCCAGAATTTCGCCTTCTGCGCAGCACCCGCCCAGTTGTCCACTGTTATTCCAGCCCCAAACATAAACATCACCATCCGTTGTCAGTGCAACACTATGCCAAGCACCACAGGCCAGCTGCGCGACTTTGGTGAAATTTAGGCCCTCCATCAGGCATGGCTGTTGCTCGCTTTCCAATGTTCCATGGCCCAGTTCGCCACGGCTTCCAGTTCCCATACTGTACACTTGTCCTGTTGAGGTCAAAATTAAGATATGATCATTGCCCGCAGCAACCTGTAGAACTGCTTCTTGGAAACCAAGTTGAAGGAGGTGCAATTCGTCGTTAGCTTCCTTATTTTCAGTAAAAATTCGATACATCGATGGCCCAGCGCTTGTATTTTTCACCAAATAACATGATCTGCTTGTTGCGCATAACAGAAAATCCTCCACTTCCACAGGGCTCTGGAACTCGAGACTTTTTTTGGGTTGTAACTTCAAATGCGCAAGTTCAGGCACTCCTTCTTGCTGATCTTTTTCCCTGCGTGGCGTTATCATTTTTTCAATTTCCACGGCAATGTTCGTCATAGGCTTGAATCCGGGATTGTGCTCAATTTCATCGATATTTAAGCGGTAAACAGGGATGGAATCAATCCGGAATGTGTACACACATCGTTCCAATGGTACCAAAAGGAAAAGATAGTTGTGAGTACAACAGGCACCCCTCACCGACCCTTTCACCTGGAAACTTGATTCATTCTGGAGCAGATAATTCTTCAGCAAAATATGCGATTCGCCGCTTCTTCGGCTGATTTCAACGCATCCGAAATAGGTATGAAGTACCTCGTCGAAGCCAACAACTCGACCGCATGACATACTGAAAAAGTATCTAATTTTCATGAAATCAGCAGATAACCAATTGCTGAAACCATAAAACCTTGTACGGTCATTTTTCTGCGTTTCTTTATTTTACCGGACAAACTGCGAAGCTGAAATTTTGCAAAGATATTCTATATTTACATGTGGTCTAAATTCAGCTTTGAGTTTAAATCCCTTGCACTTGAACATGACAAATACTCATTTTTATCGCAACCTCGAAAATGAGTGCGTGTTGCAAATCCCGTCATCCTATTCTCCCGGCACTTTGTTCATTGCCAAATTTGCATTTTTCGATGGACGACCGGTGATCAAATGCGCTCAAGGTGATCATGCATGCTAGGGGTTAAGATTTTGTGCGGTCCCATGATGCAACATCGCAGGTCCCAAATGGCGCTCTTTTTTCCCTGCATGCAAGAAAAGACCAAAACACAGTCAACATAAGTCAGCGTGTTAAACTGTAACACAGCAACCATTCATTCTGTAAACGATCTGACTGCTTCAAATTTAGCGCAAAAACGCATGATCGTACGGGGCAGAGTGGGAGCTGGCGCCTTATCTTGGAAAGTCAATCTACCGGCAGTTCAACAGTAGCCTGGGCCATTCCTACTTAAATAATCATATACTGATAAAAAAAATCGTGCTACAGACTTCTCCGTTTCATCCCTTAGCTGTATACACACTCGCACGACAACAATACATGTAAGTAGGGATCGAATCATCGATAATCGCTATAAGTTGAATGAAAAAAAGCTGGGAGCCGGGGCAGTCTGGAAATGGCAGGTCGCATCAAAAAACAAACAGGAATATCCCTACCTCATCCAAATACACTACAAATACCTTGCCAAGCCAAAAACTACACTCTTAGCTCACAGCGCAGGTACACGCATCATCACCACAACGCGCTATCTGTCACGGAAAACCCGTGAAAAGCCGACCAAGAAGAAGCCGCAGGGAAAAAAAGGGAACTGTAGTATTTTGCCTTGAAAAACAGATACACAGTAGTTGTGCTGCCAGGCTGAACCTGAAGTACAAGGACTGGTGGTGTAATGGTAACATATTGCGTTCGGACGTGAAGAGGGGTAGTTCGATCCCTCCCTGGTCCAGAGCAATTTTTGGAGAAAGGGCGGGTCCGTTCACGACACTGACACCTCAACACCGATGCAAATTTGTAATATCATGAGCAAAGCAATTCGCATAATAACTTGTAACTACTAAAACTTAGCTCCACCTAGCTGGGAGGTGAGTTGAGATGACTGGAGAAGGTAGCGGAGCGAGAGCTGGAAGCAAGGGAGATTTCGGAGATTCTAACAAAAGGGAAGCGACGGGGATATTGACTGGAAAGGAGCTGAGATCTGGAAAGGAGCTGAGATCTTGCTTGAAGGTAGGAACTGGAAAAAGGGACAGGGTTCTGGGGGTTTTTATATACTCCACACGAAACTCGATGTCGAGGGAAAATCAGCACTCTTGAACGTGCAATCTACAGCGTTGCCTAGACAGAAATCCTGGAACGACAACTCCGTTATTCTGAATACCTGAAGCCAAAAATCGATGCACATTGCGGTGGCCGAGCCGAGCGAGTTTTAGGAATTGTCCACAACAACATCAATATTCCACCAGCAGCAAAAAACCACCTTTTTGGCAAATTACCAACACCTGCCAAGTTGTTTTGCAGCGTGACGTTGTTTTTCGGCCTGGTTCAGCTGGTGGTTGGGAGGCGAATTGCTGTAGCTGGAAGGAAAATGGGACAAATGTGGGTGAGAGGAGGCGAAAAACTGGGGGGGCAATGGTTTAAGTT